TGGAGATCTCCAGATTTTTTATTGACAAAGAAGAATGGAGATGCCATAGGAGACTTTGATGGACAAATGTAGCCTTTCGTTAGGTTTTCCTCGATAAAGGTATCCAACTCCTTGAGCTTGGTTGGTGATAGCAGATAAACCTTTCCTTGCTGGGGTTTAAAACCTATTTCCAGATCAATTGCATGATCCCAGGGTTTCCGTTCTGGTAACTGCTCTGCTGTGCTTTTGTTGAATACAGAGAGGAATTTTTCTAGGTATTCCGGAATGTTGCTGGCGAGGGTTTTGATTGCCCGCAGGAGTTGATCCCAACAAAAGGGCATTTTCCCAGTGACCCAGTCAATTACAGGATTGAATTGTTTGAACCACGATAGACCTAGAATGATTGGATTCCTATCCAATACTGTGGTGTAAGCTTCTATCTTCATGGGTTGTCCAGATAAGGATATGGTGAAGAAGACTTTGTGTTTAATGGATGTGGCTTTATTTGGTGATCCATCAGTGTTAAAGACTGGTCTGGGTGTGATGCACTGGTGCTGGAGATTGTGGTCTCGAGCAAACTGGATGTCAATATAATTCTCCATTGCTCCTGTGTCGAGCAATGCCTCAGTGGTGACGGTTTTGGCATAGGTTTTTAATATGCAAGGCAAATAAATAGATTTATGAGCTAATCTCGCCTGATATAAATATTCCTTAGTGCCTGTACTTCGATTCGACATCATGGCGATCAAAGACTTCAAAAATCCTTCTCGGAGGATATAGCTTGAATGTATTCTTCGGCTATCCCTTCCTCATCGAAGGAATCCTTGGTTTCATCCTTCTCCTAAGTGGATGTGTCGTGGGATTCAATGGCCCTGATACAATTGTTTGGGCATTGGCGGCTCTGATGTCCGGGTTTATGACATCTGAAACATAACTTCTTGTCTATGTGCTCCTTGTGATCTTTGTCTGACAGACATCTGATCCGCTGATTGTTAGATGATACTTCCTTTGATGATCTATCTCTGGTTTCAACTGCCTGGTTGCAATGTACGAATTTGTTACGGCCAAAAAACAATTGGCCAATGGCATGAGCAAAGGCTTATCACCGAAGATGTCGATCATAGATTGACAGATAGACTGGATGCTGTTGAGATATCCAACTGTAGTGACTGGTAATTGCAGTTGAGTGGCAATCTTGAGTAGAAGAGCAGGAGGGATAAGACGCTGGAGTTCTCGAATTTGACCTAATTTGTTTAACCCACTGGCCTGTAAGAGAGGTCGAAGAGTTGTGACAAATTGAAGACCATTTCCTCCACACTTTGCCCAGGTGCATTTGCTGATCTCGTTTAAGGCTGCCTGAGTGTCATCCTCGACTCTGAAGGTTTGAATAAAGGACTTCCTAAAATTAGCCCAGCTGGGTAATCCTTTAAGTGGCACATCTTTGGAATCAGAGATGGGTTCTTGTGCATCAGTAATGATGGTGTGAACAAAGGACTGGGCAGGTCCTTTGATATAGGAAAGGGCACATTGAACCTTGTCCTTATCAGTCTGGATCTTCTTGGAGTTTCCTTCGAAGTATAGGTACAATTCGTCCAAGAATTCCTTGCTCTTCCCTTTATCCCCTTCGAACTGGTTGGGCTTGTTCACTGCTCCGCTATTGTTGTCCGACATGTCTTCTTCGTCTTCTTGATCACTGGGTTCTGAATCTCCGTCTTCCAGGTTGTTTGGATGTCTATCAGTAGGTTTTTCTTCTGGAGTAGGATCAGCTGGAGATCTGGGTGGATCTGGCTTGGGTTCTGCTGGAACAGGTACGGGATGTTGTTCTTCAACTGGGACTGGTGGGTTGACTGGTTCCAGTGAGTCAAAGATTCCTGAGAAGAAACTAGCTCTGAGTGTGGGACTGGTGTTTGTCAACTCGCTTGGCAAGGGTTTGGTTGTCAACTGGAGTGGCGATGTATGTGGTGTAGGAGCTACTACACTTCTACTGGATGATGCTGCAGTAGGAGGTAGGTATGACGGTGTAGGGGAGGACTTCTCTGCTAATGGGGGTACTACTGAGTGACAATCGTCTTTACTTCCAATAGGTGTTAGGATTGGTGTAGCTTTTGGAATAGTCTTATCTCTGCTTCTATTTGGACAGAGTGCACTTGCACAATACTGGTAGACGGATCCATTAAACCACTGGTCGGTCCTTTCGTTCTTGTTGTAGGCGTGGATCTTATTGAAGCAAAGGAGATTCCTTGACTGGGACCTGGTTACTGTTGGTTGTCCTACTGCTGTAGCCACTGTGGCTTGCTTGCGACTAGGCACTAGTGGTCCTAGGGGAGTTTTGTCCTAATGTTAAGGGACCTAGCGACTGAGGATCAGGAGTTCCACTTAAGACTACTACTGACAAAAAGATACTGCTACGCATAAGGCTAACGCGCTGTACTAGAACTAGACTGGTAGACTGAGCTACTGCAACTAGCAGTA